CAGGTCATAGATGGCGACAAAAAGTCGAAATTGACATAAATTTCTACATCCGAAATCCGGTGCTGCAACCGATAGGCTGGCAGGAGTTAAGAAAACGCCGCTCCTAACGCCGCGCGCGGCGGAGCGGCAAATTACGATTCTCCTGCCTGTCTCCCAGACGGAAGTTGTACAATTTAGGACTTTTGTGCCCACCCATAGTTTGCCTAACCTCTGGCCCGCTTACTCAATGCTACTTTGCTCCTCTCATTTTACTCCGTTCAACGCTCAAAAACCCCTGCAAAAGCAAGGGTCTCCTTTACTGGCATTTTTCGACGACCAGGGCTCTTTGGTAGGAACTGTACATTTCCAAGCTTATGCAAAAGCTCTTTCTGACTCCTGGTTATGAAAGAAGAACTTTTGTAATAGTTTCGAATCTTCTGCTGGATGCAGCATGGAAACGCCTCCCTATTTCGGGTTAGCGCTGCAGAGGCAGGTAAGGGAGTCTTTGTCAACAATACTCGGCGCAGTTCGGCCAGGAGAGGGGGGGGCGTATTTTGCACTTTCGCTGTTTCGTTTGTCGTGTTACTTGCTTTACAAGAGTTCACAGGTACTACAAGAGTTGAAAAGTAGTTTTCACTTGATAGCTCGAACACGATGGTGAGAAACAACCAACGTGCACAATGCCCCCCCTCAGCTGAACTGCGCCCAATACTCTACGGTGTTGGAGGGCTAGAGGGACCAGACGACAGCGTCTGTGCGTCTGTTCTCCAGACCAAGCTTAGATTCATCCGAGTTCATCTCTCCTCTGAGAGACTATCCCTCTGCAACTCTAAGCCTTGGCATAGATTGAGGAAGGTGCAGTCTTGTTCGCTGCCGATGAAAGGGAATGCCAGGCTGGAAGGGCTTTGGCAAGGCGCTAATCCAGTTCTCCACATGTCGTTGAGGCGGGTGCGCGACAACAACTGGTAGAAGACGACTGATACGAACGACATAGCAGTCTTGTCGCTTGTTCGCTTCAACAGCTGGTGGGAAACAGGTTCAACTTTCGCTCTAAACACATCCCACCTGCCACACCTGAGACGGGTGGCTCCCAAAACCGTTGGCGCCTACTACAATCCATCCGCTCGTAATGTTATTGTTCTTTAATGACGTACCCCCCATCCCTCCTGCGGTGAGCGAAGCGCGTAGTAGTTCGTCTGGTATTTGATATCGCCGGAGAAGACACAGGGGAAAAGATGAGTTGTCCCAAAACTAGACGGTAGCTGCTCTATCGAATGGAGCGCGCGATTTGTTCTGAGCGTCCAAGCTCTGAATTCTGACATGGGCTGATCTCGATCGCAATCACGATTGGCTTTCGCGAATGAGGTCGCCGTCAAGTCCCTCCCCCCTCCCCTCCACACCATTTGTCTTCAACAAATTACTACGGTTTGATTTGTTACATTGAAACGTGGGAAATGCGAACCAGGCTACATCCTTGTCTACTACCTCATGTTACTCCCTTGATCTTTCGACGGAGTGTTTTTTCGTCTGAAGAATTCTTTTATTTTTACAGTTGCATTTGATCAGAATATCCATCGTACGCTTCTTGTTGATTTTTTTGTACCTGCTTGCGTTCTCATTCACGATTTTGTTACTACCAACTTTTTGGGCACCTATTTCTACTCCAATCCATGCAAAGTCTTTTTAAAAGCAGTTTCCTTCGGTATTACGTTGTTCTTAGCCAGTAAATTATGTTGACAACATGGCAACGAGTTCTTCGGCTCTCTCACATTGTTACATTTTAACTTTTTCAAGGGTGTACATTGGCATCGAAGCTCCAGCGTAACTCGCAATGGATGGAACGCCTGATCCCGTGAGTGTAAAGATCGTTTACAGTTCCTGCTATAGTTACTGGCATGGTTATGCTACATGATTGTCTTCAGTCCACTACTGCTCCATCGCCTGAGCTGAAGGAAGTGGCACTCCCCGTGAAAGAGGAGGTCAGTTCATTTTTGAGGGGGGCGTTGTTGTAGCGCAGGTGTACAGTCCTGTACCTTAGCTGTTGATGATACTGTACGCTCACTTTCGAAAATTCTGATCCTTGCCATGTGTGAGTGGTGGGGCGGGTCCGCAGTTGTGCCACTTCCGTCCCTAGCCAGGGTAGTCGTGACCGGCCGTTCGGATTTGAGTGTTGAGGGGATGGGAAAATTTGACATAGTACATACATCATGAGTTCTTGTTTCTGCTTGTATTATTCATACGAGTTTCGCTGCTCCAATTGATAAACTAATACATATCGAAAATTAGCTGCGCATCGCCACACGATACGCTGCGCGCGATGACGCGACAAATTACGATTGTCTTGTCCGTCTCCCGATACAACGTGCATCACGACCAGGCATGCACACAGCGCGCTGCTTTCTGCGTCCCTCCCTATTGGCCGCGATAGGCTTGATGTTCACCTTTTTCGTCACGAGACCTGGTATCGATATGCAAGTTGTGAAGCAGATGGGGATCGAAACGACATCTAGCTCTAACATCCCTCCGATTTCATTTCCGCGCTCGTTCAGATGATGGAAACAGAAAATTCTACAGCTGTGTACCATTCCTTATCGCTAGTGGCAAGGGCCCATCTCAGAGGTGTGCATACAACTTGTCCTTGAGAGAGAGAGAGAGAGAGAGACGTCCATGATGTCACAGTTAACCTCTCATGAAAACGTCCATTCATAACGAAGCAATGCAGGTTCCGTTGCCAGCAGCTTTTTACATGGCGCGCCTCTCAATTTCAGATGAACCCATTTAATAACTCTCAACAGCTAACGGACCTGGGCTACACCTGCGCCCTGATGTGTTGTGGTTACATAATTGCTTCACTCATGCTTCCAGGAGCATGTTACGCAATCAGGAGGTGATCATTGTTCTCATTGTAAAAGTTGCCTGTACGAAGCTTTGCGAGCCATCTCGCTTGATCAGCTGGTGAATCGTGAAATAGGAAGTTTTGGGAGACGATGTGCGCTCACCCCAGAAGCGAGAGTCATTGTCGCCAACGTGAGGCAGTTCTTCGCGAAGCTGAAAGATCATCTCGGACCTGACGCCCGCGGAACCGTTTTCAGTTCAGTCATTGCTGTGACTGCTACGGCTTGTGCTGTGCGAGATTCAACGGTCGAAAGGGTCTTAAAACGGGCAAGACAACAAAATTCAAAACGAAAATCCGGCGGCTCTGTGAAGAAGAGGAAACTGGTAGGTATATGCACATTTTTTGTCATGTTGTAGCTCTGCAGCTCATGATATGCAGTCAAAGATTTTTTGTGTTTTCCCAGTATAGAACGAATTTAATACCGTCTAGGGGTAAAAGGCGCACTCTTATATACCTTTGCGGTGTTCAGGGCGCACCTGCACCTTGAACACCGCAAAGGTTTCTGCCTCATTTTGCGTGATTTTTTATTCTTATCTATGTGAGCGACCGTTTTCACTAGGACTTGGTCGAGGTTCAAATTAAAGATTCTTATATTCAAAAGTGACAAAAAGCTTCTGCCGTGTTTAGCGGCTTTTCGGTGTATAAATTCGCGTTATATCCCAGATAAAGGGCTGCAATATTTCCTGTACTCGTAGGGAGTGGTTCACTCCATGAGGCGAAGCGGTTGCAGGATTTCGGCGAAGTAAGAAATATCAGCTCCACGTCGTCCCTTAGTGTACCCTCGGCATAATCGTTGATTTTTGATCGCTTCTGCCGGATCGGATTTTCAGATGGAACCTTTCACCTGCCTTACGTTTCGGCCTTTACTCTTCTTCAAAGGCCGAAGGCCCCTCCGTGCGGAGCTTAGTTCACGCTTTGTGTTTGTGAGATAAGTAAAAACGAAATCCTACTAGGGGAATTCGTCCTTAGTGGTCTTACTTGCACACACAACAACTGGGCTACGTACGGACACCTTCCGCCTTTGGAGAAGAGAACAGGATCGAAATGTTCGGCCAATAAAAGGTCCCATCTTGAAATCCAGATTTGCAGACGCAATTAAAAGCTAGTGGATCAGTTCTGATTGCCTGTTCAAGAGCTGCAGCATTTACATCGTGACATAATTCTGCGGTTTACTCAAATGCTTACCTTTTATGTGGAATAACTTCAGGATACTGGACAGAAATACGTGGTTGCTGACAGTGAGGATGCCAAAATTTCGTCGTTTTTGCAGGATCCCGACATGCCGCCTTGAACGATATGTGCAGTGCATGTGTGTAAAATACGATCTCTTTTTTTTGTTCATGTTGGTTGTTATCCCTTGTTGCCCGACGGGATTTGGGTAAGATGTCAAACACATTTGAGACCTTTTTCGTCCATAGGTACTATAATCTAATCACAATGTGCAATTGTATGTTTAATATTTTAGCCCGCATTAGAAAGCATCTGCTCGTTTTTTTAGAAAGGTTTTGCTCGGTCTTGTTCTTCTATGTTTTCCTGCTTACAATATAAAGTACTCTCTTAGTTTGCCTATCGTTTAATACTCAGCGCAGTTAGTTAAAATTGTGCTAATTTTTGGCGCTAATAACTTCGAAGGGAGCATTTGAAAGACTCCTTGTGCCGAACTAGATTCACCGCAAAAGAGACAATAACTTTTGTCTAAGTTACAAAAGGAAAGAGCTTCGGAATTGGTGAAGCCTTGGAGTTGGTTTGATGCACAAGATTCTAGGAGAGCCTTTGATCCAGGTTCAGCGCAAGTCCTTTACACCCTGCAAGACTATCAGTCCCATTTTCAGCGTGCCTACCGATTCCAGAAGGTATATGGCAATGCTCAAAGTTTTTTCGTTATGTTCATTTGTGGCTAGGGTTAACTGAAGTGATGAGTGATCACACGAATAGAGAAGCAAGTGGACTACCATAACGAGGATGTGTGGTCCTTGTCCAGTCATCTTACTTGACACCGTTCTTCTCACTCTGGCAGACCCACCTGTGAGATGCCCTCATCTAAATGAGCCCACCTAAGGGATGCCCTCACCTAACCGGTTGTTCGAGGACTTGTAACCATTCGTCACCTTAGCAGCTACATCAGAGCAATAGATGCTTAAAGTTTTTGTGCGAATTCTGTATTCACCAATGTGTGACTGGCGACTCTCGCGCAATTGGTTCAGATCCCATGGCTGTGACGCAAATTATGAATTTGGTGACCTTCCCCTTTCTAAACCCCTTGTAAGCCCTTGTCACCTTTACTTTTCCTTGCCACCTATCAGTAGTGTTCCTGCCTGACCTCCTACATCACCAATCAATTTGAACTTTCTACGATCGATATGAAGGAAGTTATGAATTTCGGTCAAACACACACACACACACACACACACACACACACACACACACACACACACACACACACACACACACACACACACACACACACACACACACACACACACACACACACACACACACACACACACACACACACACACACACACACACACACACACACCACACTACTCACGCCACAAACAAACATCGAAATTAATATATAGTACAGCGGGCGCGCCTCCTTCCGATACGTGCTGTATCGCCGGGTAACCTTCTTACACACATTTTATTACCCGCCTAGTATCGGGCTTTTCTTTTACCTGAACAGATGGTCAACATTCTTTGACCAATAGCATCATACCTGCTATTTTCAACACTATTACGGTGTATGGAGTGGTGGTAAGGAGCGTTGATCAAGTGGACAGATGAGAGAAAAGCCGGGTATTAGTCGAGCATTTGATCATACGAATGCAGGTAGGCGCGGTGGAGCCACGCTTAGATAATACCCTACCTACTCTGATAAGCGAGAGGTTCCATCTGCGAATCAAGGACGAGTTTCCTCACCGCAATTCAATTTCACTGGAGGACGGCATCGATTATCTACAGATGCAACACTTGGCGATCTCATCATTGCAGGCGGACGCAGACGCACTAATTCTTCGTACAAACTTATGGAAATCCAATGGAGACATAGGCCTGTTGTTAAATTGTATCCTACTATGGTGATCGTTACAGGAGGGAGGATGTGGCGAGTGCTGGATAGAGTCAGACAAAACTTTCCAAGTGAGCATCCATGCTCTTGTGATCCAGCGGTAATCTCACAATTTTTTATGGGGGCTAGATTTCGAATGTCGAGTAATTGTTCTTCTGTTATGAAAAAAACACACAGTCTCAATTGTGGGGTTTGCGCTTATGCATGGAACTGCAGCACATGCGTGGACAATAGGAGTCAGCCGTCTTTGTAGACAAGCTGTCAAACTACTGACCTTAGAATGTTGGTCCTTAGATTTGTCAAGAAAAATGATTCCAGATTTGGGGTAGATTGGGGTATTCATGAGTAGAAAGGAGACTTAGAAGACTTAGAGAAGGATCTACAGTTAACAGAAGCCACAGTTACCTCGTTGGCAAAGCTCGATACGGATGAGGCAATGACACACTCGTAGAAAATGTGAGTTACATGGGACTTGTAGCCTGGGATTGGGGACTTTCTAGCTGATCCGAGCCTATCTGGTCTAATAGAAAATATCCGGGATTCAACCGTCCGTCCCCTTGCTACCCAAATCCCGGAGATACGCCAGGCGGGGCTGTGCTTGAAGTGAACGTGGCGGCGGTCAACGTTTTGAGAGATGTTTTCGATATGATACCGTTGTAATTGTGTCTCTGCCCAACAAAGAACAGACGA